GGGACACAACTCCTGGTTGAATTTGGAGTGGAAGGAAATGGTGTAGAAATGGGATCATGTTGTCTGATTTCAGGCTTAATACAGTCTCCTTCTCAACTGCCTTCATGCTGAGGTTGAAAGTAGAAGTTTGTGAGTGTCTTCCTCAGCCCTTCATTCTCCTCTCTCTGTGTTGTGTCATTCACCTGGTGAACAGAGTCTGTAATTCCAGTTTCGATAAATCTTGATTATTTCCATCAAATCTTACGGTTCTTTTTGGAGACACTGTGAGAGGCCCATCTTATTTCTCACTTTTATTACCTGTCTTGTACTAACCTGAGCTGGAGGGAGTGTGTTTGTCTCTCTATTTCTCTCTGTTGTATAATTTTTCTCTATATCTTCAGGTTTTCATGAGGATTGGAAAAGAAATTTTCTTTTGGAATCACTAAACATTTCACTGGCACTAAGAGCCATTTCTCATTTCTCATCCATCTCCAGTCAACATTTCATGCCCTGAATTCCTGATAAGGGAACAATCTTGTAACAGGCAATCAGAAATGACATCATTATAGTTAGAGATGTAAATGGGAGCTACAGGGCTGAGGGGGCATCAGGACACTCATTCTGCAACAGGAGATCCTGTGACTCTCTGAAGATGACCTTTGAAGGCTGGTGGATGTTATATTAGCGGAGTTCCCATTGGATTTCTGCTTCTGGGTGGAATAAAGACCATATGGGAGCTAGAAGAGAGGTCATTGCAATCCCTTGCTTGGTAATTTTATGTGACAATAGTTTGAAAACTTGTGATGTTCTGTCCCTCCTAAGATACAAATGGGGAGAGAGGCAGGAAGAGGGTTGGAAGGGGATTATTTTTGGAGGGGTCTCAGACGAGCAACTTCTGATGCAAACATTTACTGCTGGTAAAGTGCAGACCCTGGCAGAAGTTGTCACCTTCCAGATAAAACCTTTTTTTCTTTCTTATTTTTTTTCTTTTTTCCTATCAGCAACTGCATACAGAATCTCCCCATTGGTAGAATAAATCTGATAAAAAAATGTAGTTGTAAGCAGCAACGATTTTATCCTCGTGGAAAGATTTTATCCAGCAGGAAAAATGTTGTGCCTGGGCATAATTTTTCAGATATGATGAACAACAGCATAGTATGACCCTCAGTCCTGAGGATTTAATTTTAAAAGAACTACTGAGTGTATCAGATATACTCAACTTTTTTCTCCCCTATCATTTTTTTCACAGGCAGGGCTTGGTTTATAGATACATCTTGACAAAGATCTGCCACAGGCAAATTTCAACAAAAGAACAACTTCAAACACATCCAATTAACAATTTATGAAAGGAAATCCAACAGAAAATTGCACAGAGATTCACAGGGCATAAAATTTGACACTAAATCAAATTTAATGTGGAAATGCCTGTGCAGGGAGTTATGGCCCCTTCCAGTGCATTGTCAAAGGGAACTTTATCTGCGGAGGCTCAGTGAGTGCCCTCCATCAGATCTTTCCTTGCTATAAATAAAGTGTTTTGTCAGACATGGCAATGAACATAACTCAGAAGGGAATGAAGACCACTGATAAGCCAAGCTATGTGCAGCTTTTAGTCAGAAGTATTAGAAGTGATTAGATTTCTTCACACTTTCAAATCTAGGATTCGTTCACTTTATCACAGAAACGAGGGGCTCTGTACCATGGGCAACACAAAATCATTTTTAATTCGTTAACACAGCACACAGACCCTGAAAGCAGGTCATGGTGACTGTATTTAATATTATTATGGAGCCATTTTGATGTCTGGAAGGAAATATCAGCCCCCCCTTCATCCTGTTGTTTACTGCTTTACTTATTCAGCAGCCGTTGTTGGATATTTTGGGAAGATGTTAAGGATACAAACTCATGTCATTGTCTTCAGCAGCTCTGAAATTAACTTAGGTCACTCCTTTGTTTAGAGGAAAAGATCTTTGTCTAGACCATTACCTACTTAAACACAGGGATAGCTGCTTTTTGTAGATCACTGAGCAGCATCTCTTGCAACCTCTGAATAATTTGGAGGGGGGACATGTTATTTACAGATACCAGGATGAGTAAGAGAGCTGAAACAGGCCAAGATGAAGGACATTTGTGATACAACTGTGCTATTCCATGGACTAATATAATTAATTTGAAGAGTTCTTTGCCGTATTTCTGGCTCTCCTGTTATTCCTGTGCTCCCACATCAGAATATTTGACATTTGAACACTTGTAAATTTTTTATCTTTCACTGAAATTCATTTTGCATAGCAAAATATGGTTTTAAATGTCCATTCCTATGCATTTAGGTCCGTGGTGCAGTGTCCTTGCTGCAAACAGAGTAGACAAATTTCATCAGAGCATTTTTTCTGCATTTTTAGAGGTCAGAAACTTGGGTTTTTCCAGCCTCCTTGGTGATGTGCTGCAGAACTGCCTCTGCGTGTCTTAGTTAACCCACTGGTGAAGATGAGAGGACACCTCTGTCACTATGAATGAAGCATTAGAATACCCCAGGGATTTTTTTTCTGGAGTCCATTAATACATGCTTTTGGCACTGAAACACTCTACCAGAGAAGTTAGTGTCCAAGGCACGTAATAATTAGTGAATAAAACACCCCCAGAGTATCTTGATCCCATTAAAATATGTCTTTTAAAGTGTAAATGAATTTTAACCTAATTTTAAATGATGATTATCTTCCTATAACGCACCCTTTCTCAGTAGATAACAGATCCCTGGGAAGCAGAAGGTGAAAAAGTAAGACAATAATGTCAGAGATTTTCATCTGTTCGTATTTTGAATGAGACTTGAGTGGTTGCTGCTGAGTTTTCTATTTCCCTCTATTTCTTCCACCACCCCTCTCCCTTTACCACATTGTATTATCCTTGTCTCCAACTAGGTATGGTGATAATAATAATAATAATTAACTTAATAAGACAAAGACTAAGTTTAGGCAAATACAAAAATTCATTGATTTTCTAAATACAGAAATTGTACACTTTTGAAAGAATTAAAGAAGTTAGAGAATTAAATGAGAATTTACAGATGCCTGATATTCTTCAAAGTTTAGCCAGCCACAGAGTCTATATGTGTTAAATATTACTCATTCTCTCAATGCCTCCTCCACAGTTCCTGCAAGGCAGATCTCTGAGCAAAAAAGCCAGAAGTAAAACACCTTATAAGTGACTTTTTTTCCCCTCATTTCTCTGCTTCCCTCATTTCCCTGCTTCCCTCATGCAGACTTGGTCGGGTTTATCATTCTTGCAGTGATGACTTTGCATTGTTTCCACCGCAACTTCCACTCGAGTCCTCCCGGTCCTTCCAGTTCTCCAGCCCTGTGTCCTTCCAGCAAGCTGCCCTATGGCCTGTTCACTCTGTGGAAATTCGGGGCAGTTCATATTTTTGAAGATTTATCCACAGCAAGACAGCAAAGGCTTTTCAGGCACAATTTGTTGAAAAGCCCCAGTTTTTGTGCTTCACGTAGAAACTGAACATCCCCCTGAGTACTTGTGCTTGTTTTCTCCTATGGCTTTCAGAGATTTCGGGGACATTCAGGTCAAGGATGTGCTGTGGTCATTTCTTCTTTCAGCTTCAGAGCATCAGAAGCACTTGGTTTGCCTTTGTACTGTAACTTTTTGTTAGGAGTCAAAGCTCAGCTCAAGACCACGTGAGAGGATCATGGGCACTGTTAAAGTGGAATACTCATGAAGTTGGAGGGTTGGAGCCTTCAGTGCCTTTAACTTAGAACTTGAGCTCAGCCTGCAAACCAACCTTGTGTCAGTTCATTGTCTTAGTCCAGTCTAGACTGAACCTAACATAGGCACAGAAGCTAAAGGCAGAGAGGAGAAGACCTTGTTAAACCTTTGCCCCCTCCTGCAGTGCAGATTCAACTGGACCTTGAGCATTTTAAAATCTGGATCTGACTATAAATGCAGCTTTCAAAGGTAGTATGAACATCTGTCTACCAGAAAATTGGTATCTGAGGGCTTAGAAAATAAGTTGGGGGCTTTTAAAAAAAGAGGGAGTGTGACGTATTACACGAGCAGATAGTGATAGGACGTGGGGGGGATGATTTTAAAAAAGAGAAGAGATTTAGATGGCAAACTGGAAAGAATTTAATTACTCAGAGGGCGGTGAGGCACTGGAACAGTTTTCCCAGTGAAGTTGATGGTGTCCCATCCCTGAAAGTGTTCAAGGTCAGGCTGGATGGGGCTTGGAGCAGCTGGTCTAGTGGAAGGTGTCCCTGCCTATGGCAGGGGTTGGAACTGGATGAGCTTTAAGGTGCCTTCCAACCCAATTCTTCCAATCAGTTCTGTGATTCTATGTGGGCATTCTTGCTTGAGTGACTCTTAAAAGGTCTGGGGAGGAGCAAGGATGATCAGCTCAAGGTGATGCCAGAAGGAATATGGGATTCCCAAACAGGAATGAGAAGAGTTGTTTTTCAGCACTTATTACTGAAGTTCTGAGATGCACATCTAGGATCTGGTGTGTCAGCAAAATCAGGTCTACTGTATAGAGTGAACACCAGAACCTGTGAGTTGCTCAAGCTGATGATTCTGAGAAATCATCCCGTGATGATTTCCCCTTTATGAGCTGTTTTGTTTATCTCATAAGTGGACAAGATGGGATCCTTTGTTATTTTGAACGTCGGAAGTTGGTTCATAAAGTCTTCAAGACAAATTTTTAGGCTTTCTATGTGCCTGAGAAGGTAATTAATTCCAGAAGAATTTTCAGGAAAATACGACGAGGTAAATGTGTCCTTTTTTGGACGCACGTTAAGGTTTTGATCTGTCAGAAGTGCTGGAAAATTGAAGTTGGTTTCTGGGGCTCCAAAGTAGCTCAGGAGATTTGACTTCAGGTCCTAACATTTCTTCCTCTCATGGAACTTACTTCACTTCACCTTTTTGTTGTCTATTATATATTAATATTTTCCTTTCCCACACTAAGACTGAGTAAAACTGGTTGACATTTACACTTCCTTTTCTTTCTTTCCATTCTCCCATCTCAGCAGAGCCCCAAGACCCCCTTCTCTGACCTACCTGATGATGAGAAGATCTTTAATGGGGGAGATGCCACGTGGCAGAACCAGAGCCAGGACCAAGCCTTGCTCTCGGAAATCACGGAGGAGGATCTGGAGGCCATTCGGCAGCGGGAAGAGGCCATTCAGCAGATTGAGGTCAGTGACCTTCTCCCATCATGGGTTTGTGAGCAGGAATTGCAGATTCCTTGTGCTGTCCCGAAGGAAATGCTGATTTCCATTGCTACCAGTGCAGCGTCACTAAAAATGGGAGAGATTATCAAGTGCTTCTAAAAATGGAAATGGGTGACAGAAGGAAGAGTTAGAAATCCATATGACTAGTAGTGGAAATTACAGGAATTAATTGATGTTCATGGGCTAATGATTGGGTTCTTTTCAGTGAGTCTGCCATGGCAGAATCTGTAGTGAGGGAGCTTAAGCTGGATTCCGCAGCAAATCAACTTTTCTTGGTGCACACGAACTTGAAACTGGAATTTGTCACAGACAGAAAATATTCAGTTTTACCATGAGAGAGAATAATAGGTAGAAAAAAGGAAATAACTTGTTAACCTTTTCAAATTATTTCAAATATTTTGCTGTATCAAAGTATTTGGACATTCTTGGTCTAGTTAATAGAAGACATACTATTTTTATTCCTTTTTTTTTTCCAAGACGCTGTAAAAATGTGAAATAAAAGGAACAAAAAGAGGCCTGAATAAGTTAAACATCCCACATTTTTCTTTTTATACTTCTCTTTTTATGCTTTTGGGAAACTCTTGTTACTTAAATTTAAGCGATAAATGGGTAAAACAAGAACATGCTAAATCTTTCTAATTTGTATGCTTTTACAGGCCTAAACTCAAGATGAACCAAAAAAAAAAAAAAAGAGAGCTTCAGAATGATCAGAACATTTAATTAAGGACTATACTTTGTCCTTTAATTGGATTGTGCTAATTTTATCAGAATAGATTTTGGTTGCGGTACAGCAGGAATTGTGATTGAGTTAACAGAGCAAAAAGGGGACAAACATTCCTACTGTAGAGTGGAACTCTGAGGCTGTGACCTCTGTTTGCAAACAGTGATGGATAAATCTGATTCAACTCCCTAAGTAAGAAATTTTGACAGTTTTACAGGAGGGGGTCGAGGTTAGTGTGTGTCTAATTTCTGTTATGGTTCTCTGAACAGAGATGAATGAGCTTTGTGGGCTTGTGTCCATTGCTAGGAATGAAATTGTTAAAAAATGTGCTCACGTGGAGTATCTCTGGGTGTGATTTGTCTCTTCATACTTGAGAGATCTCATTGCACCCACCAGGACAAACTGGAGGGAACTTTGTGGCAAGAAAATGCATGTTTCAGGCTGTTCCTGCACTTTGATGTTCAAGAAGGTTGGTAGCAAATGTACTTCTGAAATGATGTTGTGGACCACAACTCCAGCTCACTGTAGATATTCCAGAACAGTCTGGACACACCCCTGTGCCATGTGCTCTGGGATGACCCTGCTTGAGCAGGGAGGTTGGACCAGATGACCCACTGTGGTCCCTTCCAACCTCACCCATTCTGTGATTCTGTGATTTTGTGACCTTTTTGTTTGAAATATAGTCAGTGCCTTTTTCTTCCCATCTTTATGTCATCCCTGTCCTCCCCAGAAAACAAAAAAACCCCACATTTAGTGTTTGTCCATTAGGCATTGGGGATTGAGCAACCCCAAGCCAGTCTCAACCTCAGCAGCTTTGGAAAACCAGGAGGTGTCTCCTCAGAGAGATCTTTATTTTCTGGTTAAATCCCACTTCTGTCCACAAGCTGATATCTCTGCATTAGGCTGCACTGGACCACATGGCCATGGTGGGGTAATTGAGGGGGGTTAAGTGAATCCAGTCATCGTCCAAAATAACTTGTAAAAAATAGCTCTTAAAAAATTACCACACTTGTGTATTGTGCAAATTTTGTATGTATTGATTTGATCCTGGATACCTTTTCAATATGAATTTACCTCTGAATAACTTATTCAGTATATGCAATTAATGATTTAGTCAATTTAGGCAGTTAATGTTGTTTAGGCTTTTGCTTCCTAAGAATGTGTGCACTTTCCTTTTACCTGTTTATTTCCCAATATCCTGTATCCATTTTGCTTTGCTCTCCAAGATCCATGTTCATCCTGTGAGGAGGGCTGCATTCCACAAGCATTATTTCAAATGTAGCTTAAACATTTTTCTTCAGGAGGAAAACATTTAGGACTGATGGTATTTTATTTAACATCACTTTTGAAAGAAATGTAATGAAAATGAGGATTTTTGGACTGCATTGTACCTCTCCCCAGCTGCATTTGAATAAGCAGATGGTGCTTTTTAAATAATTTTCACTGTGTTTTGTTTTTCTGTTTGTTGACCCACATGAACATATTTCTTGTGAAAGGACTCATCTAGCACATTAAAGCTTCCCTGTTTTCAGCAGAAGTTGTGGGTACACAGAAAAGGGATTCACTGAGCTCATAGTCACCATAACAACTTTTCCCCAACATGTTTTCAAAACCACTGAGTAACCAAGAAGGTTAAAATGAAACATTATTCTCAACTGTCAAACACAACTAATAAACTAAATTTATTGCCAAATTGATGTATAGCACTTGTTCTCCGTTGTTCTTTGGGGACCAGAATGAAGAATAGACCTGGGCAGAACTTGTCTTATGCAAGTAGATTGCTCTCACTGGGATTTTTGTGTTGCTGCATATCCAGCACCAGGAACATGTAGATCTTGAGCAGCACAGAGGAGATCACAGATCACTGATGGAACATCATAAATTCTGGGCCACACTGATTACACACAACTCTGGGGGAGCTCATGGTGCAGCTCATGTGGCTTTTTTTTTTTTTTTCTTAAGAGACACTGAATTTGCCCCTTTTGCAAGAACAGGTATAAAACCTTTTTGATAGCTAAAGAAATGAGCGAATAAATTATCTTCCCGTCTTGTGTCCTGAAAAACAGATATAAAATCATGCCCATAATAGACATTTTCTTAATGTTCCAATTACTTTTTCCCACTTGTGTGTTTTCCACATCTCCAGTGTCTCTTCAGAGGTTCAGGTTAATGGGACATTGTTCTCTGTCATGGACATCCCTCGAGGCACTTTGCAGTGTTCACAGTTTCCACCTAGACAGATAACCGCCATGTCAAAAGTTCAGCTGGCTGTTCATTTTATTTAAATGTGCTAGTTTTGCTATTGCTTGCAGATTAAAACCAGAGAAGTCTGCTAGGGAGATGTCTCGCCAAAACCTTACATTTTGGATAAAGATCTTTATTGCTTGGAAATGTCAAAATCTGGTAGGACACAGCAGCCTTGACACAAGTGTTATTTCTTAAAATATTGCTTTGAACTGTTATATAAAACCTATTTTAACTTGAACTGTATTGGCAGTGAATAATAGATGCCATAACAACTTTATATATAGCACTGTAAAATGTGCCATCAGAAATACATGAGCTGAACTGTAATGTGCATTGTCAGTGCTCAGTGCTGGCACAGGCTCTGTCACAGCAAATATATATAATTTAGCATCCCATGCTTTTCATTTCCACCTGTGGTCATGTGAAAAATGGGAGGTGATAAAAGTTTGAGAAGAAATGGGTAAGTACTGAATGGAGAACTTCACAGAAGTTCAGCTGGTGATTGGAAGACCTATAGGAAAGATGCTAAATGCTGTATTGATGCAGAAAGCCTCCAGTGATCCTCCCAGTGCAGATGGCTTCTCTAGAGGTGATGAGGAAGGAAGATAAGAAAAACCCCTTCCAGACCACACCGTCATTCCCTTGGAGTCACCAGCAGGTCATCCCATCTCCTGCACAATCCTCTTTCCCTTCTCATAGAAGTTTCCCATCCCTGTGCTTCCCACACAACAGTGGGAATTCTCCTACCATGAAGCGTGGGAAGCAACCTGGTCTAGTGGAAGATGTCCCTGTCCATGACAGGGGGTTGTAACTGGATGATCTTTAAGGTCCCTTCCAACCCAAATCATTCGACAATTCTATGATACCCTGAAAAAAGCAAAGCACATCCACAGAGCTGCATTTTAGGAAATGCTTCTCTTGGCAAAAGAGAAGAGGAGATGGATAGGTTGTGGCAACAGGTGTGAGGAAAATGCTTGTATTTTTAGGAGAGGTTGTTCCCACTGGGTCATTGTTGAGGAATGTTGATGTTTGTTCCCTCTCTGTTTTGAAGAGCAGTGATAGATGGCAGCCTCCACGCCTGTCACTCAAGCATTTGTAAGCAGACAGAAAACGAAATACAATAAAAATAAAACAACAACAACAACAACAAAAACAACAAAAAGCCCCATAGAGTCTGCCAGAGTGTGTTTATTAGTTCAGACTTGTTCCTTGTTCACTCATTACCACGTAGCATTTCTTGCTGAGGGGTATTTTTGGTAAAATCGTGCAGTTTAGAAGGTTTAGTGCAAGCCGTTTTATACCTTTTATCAACTTCAATAGTCCAGGGCTTTGACTTATGAGGGCTCTACCTGCCTCTTCACAGAGACTTTTTGACTCAGAGTAATGTATAAATAACACAATATCATGACAAGCACCGTCAGTGAACGAGTGTCAAAAGCAGCATCTTCTCCTGGCAGCGTGGTGGAGCCCAATTATCATGAGCAGCAGAGCTGCCTGAGCGGTTGACACGGCCATCCCTGGGACTTGGTATTGAGTTGTTCCCTAAAGAATCCGCTCCAGTATCCTGCCCACTCTAATTTAAAATGACCTGAGCTGCAGGACTACCACCATTTATTTCGGGAGACTATTTCACGGTCCAGCAGGCTGCGGTGTTGATGAAATGCTTCCCTCTGCTCCTGCTAAAGATCCCTTTCTCATTCTCAGCTTTTTACACCCAGTGAAACTCTACTGGACCCTGCAAATAATTCTTCTTCCCCTTTGGCTTTTAAACTCCTCAGATGCTCACAGTTATCCTCCTCTTCACAAGTCACTCTCTCTTGCTTTTCAGTCACTTCAGTGCTCTCTTCTCAGTTATTTCCCATTTGTTATTTCCTTGCTCCTCCAGCAGCAGACCATATATAGGATTTTGTTGTACCACAGCTGAACAGAAGAAATGTGTAAAAAAACCCCATGGATCCAATTCAGGGTTTACAAGTGCTGATGGGAAATTTCTAGA